CTTTACCGCCTCCCCTCCCCCAAAACGCCTCTTCACTCTACCCGGCTCCCCTCCCCCAAGACGACGCTTCCACTTACTCGACGACGATTCAAGATTTCTCTCCCTCCCCAAGATGATTCCCTTTAAGAGTCATCCCTTTCTTCCCTTTTATCGTTCAATCGTCCCTGCCATCACCGTCCCTCGCTTCTGAATCGTTCAATCGTCCATCGTCCCTCCCATCACCGTCGCTCTTCATCTGCTATTTTAGGTATGAACATTTATCTGTTTGGGTTTTGCTTTTGCGTTTTGCTGATTTTGTATTGCTTTCATTTATCTGTTTGGGTGCTCTCCATCTGCTATTTCAGGTTGAATCGTTCAATCGTCCATCGTCCCTCCCATCACCGTCGCTATCCATCTGCTATTTCAGGTATGAACATTTATCTGTTTGGGTTTTGCTTTTGGGTTTTGCTTATGTAAATAAATCCATTTTTCATGAATTTTGTTGTGGTTAATTGAAGTAAACTTAACTAAAGGAGCTTGTTTAGAAACTATGTTAGTGTCTTTGCTAACAGTAGCTTCAGTTTCTGCCAAAGCATTTAGATGAGAGCCAAAATCCCATATTTGAGTTTGTTGAGTTTGATTATAGATATTTCATCTACATAAATGCCACCTTTTGAATGAGTGTAGTCTATCTGCTTCATTGAGAATCTAACTTCAGTGGCAGGATTGAACTATTTTACAATGAACTCCCTACCTTGTAATCTATCCAGCAACCCCGTTTTTGACATCCATTTGCCTCATCTTCAGCACAATCATCTAAAAAACATACAGTAGATGCTTCTTGACTAGCCAGGTTCTAAATATGTTAACAAATTGAGAAGTGATTTCACTTTATATCCTAACCCACTTTCACTTATGAACATTTATCTGTTTGGGTTTTGCTTTTGGGTTTTGCTTATGTTTTGCTTATGTATGCCAATTGTTTGTTAAAAGGCTTCATTTACTGGTTTTGATGTTTGGGTTGTACTCCATTGGCAAGAATTGATCAAGAAAATCTTAAGTCTATAATTTCTGTTTAGGTTGTACTCCATTGGCAAGAATTGATCAAGATAGACCATTTTAATATGTTTGGGTTTTGCTGATTTTGTATTGCTTTCATTGCCAAGTGTTTGTTAAAAGGCTTCATTTACTGGTTTTGTTGTTTGGGTTGTACTCCATTGGCAAGAATTGTCACGTTTGGAATGATTGATATGTATTCTCCAACTTGTGGACTGTTAGGCGATGGAAATAAGCTAAAATTCTGGGTCCATAAGTAATGGCCTCAAGTGTACTGATAGAGAACAGAAAAGAGCTAGAGAAAATAATCTGCCCAAATATGGTGACCAATACTCTTGTAGATTAATTTAGTAGCCAATTTTTTTGTAAATAGTGTAATATTTTCTTACCACATCAGGTCCAAGAGTTGATAGTCCTTGAATAGCCCCATAATGTTGAGTCAATGTCCGTTTCTGATCCAAAACTGACTCCATGTTGGATTCCTTTTTTGGCAAATGTAGACCAACTTACACATGCCTCACTAATCTCAAGGGCGTCCCAGAGATCAACACGGAAAATCTCCAGTGGCCTTAGAGGAATTAAGAAAAAATGTGTACAAATTTACCAAATACTAGGACATACAACTATAACAACAAATTAATGAGCAAAGCGCATCTCTGAAGTGAAACAATGTGATATAGATTTCAGTCAAGATGATGAAAGGAATACAGAAGAGTATGACACTCCTACGAGTTTGGATAAACCCCCCACAAAGATAAAAAAACAAGAAGTTGCAAAAGCAACAGAAAGGGCAGCAACTGCAACCTTTAAAGCAGAAAGGTTGAAGAAATAGATGCTGAAACAGCAGCCATAGATGTTGCTTCCTTGACAGCAGAAAGGGCAGCGGCTGCAACCTTTAAAGCCTCTTCTATCATCTGGCTTTAAACTTGGTATGGGTTGGACAGGTAAACTCTTCTTTGGTCCAAGCCCAAGAACTGTCATCCAACTCTAATAAAGTTGAATAAGTGAATATGTTAAGTTGAGATGTTTCAATACAAATAATGTATATGAACACACACAGAAGAAGATGATTTTGAAGAAGGCTTAGATGAAGTTCCTTTTAAATTTGAGGTAGACTTTTTAATAATGGAATTCAGCTTCTCTGTGGAAATTCCCTTATTCATCTACTGCCATACAACATCAACTCTAGCATTCTTATCAAATTTTAACCAAATCAACTCACTTGAACAGACATGTACGCATATGAAAAAGGACATCATGCAAAAAATGTTAGATCGAAGACTAGCCTAGACCCTAACCAAAAAGAATTTCCTTGTTGGATTTTCATTATATGAAATGGGTATCTCTCAATTTTCAGTTTTATTCTCTAATTTAATGTTATTTTTTTTTATGAAGGATTATGGAATGGAAAATGGTGCGTTTGGTGGGGTTTTTGATGGGCATGGAAGGAATGGTCAAATAATGAGCAAATTTGTGAGAAACAGGTTGCCATCATTGATTGTCAACCAAAGAAATTCCACCATAATCAAGGGCAAAGCGATAATTGAGCATCATGATGAGTTTGACTCCAAGGATTTCCATATTTGGAAATTGGAAAGATGCCTGTTTTAGTGAGTCATGGACAAGGAGATCAAGCTTATGGAACATATAGATTTCTTTTACAGTGGTACAACTGCTGTTGTTGTCATCAAATAGGTACCATATACAACAAACTCTCATTAAGATTTTGAGCCATCCTGGATGCATCATTAGCTTGTACGGTACAAACTAGCACTGCATCTTGACAGTAGTTTAACTTCCAGTTTATCGCCCTGGCATAGTGGCGATAAACTGTTCCTTTTTTGTTTTATAAAAGAATAATTCACTTTGTGTTGATAGCTTTTTGGTGTGTATGTGTCACTGATCTGTATATGGAGATGGAATCTCTTTGTTGTGAGGCCAAATGGAACAAATTTTAGTATGCTTGACCATTTTCAAGAATAAGATTCATGTTTGGTTCGGGAAGGGATCATGGAATTTTTGAAATGAATGAGAATCATATCAAACTAGGGTCCAACCCAAATTGTGATGAAATATATTAAATCAAATATACATAAGAAGTAGGGTTGTCATCTTTCCCCCATTTGTATAACTTGGTTCCATTGTGTCAAAAATGATAATGTCCAAGTTTCTTGAATCAAATGTGTGTGGAGTGCGAGTTTGTTCAGCTTTGTTACTAATCACATGCCTCTTCTCTTCTTTTAGCTGGAATAAAATTTTCGTAAACACCTGTGGGATGGAGGAAATATGCCTCTTCTCTTCTTTTAGCTTACTTGCTTGTTTGATTTTTCTTCAAATGGATACGTTTTCACCGTTCCAGGAGGAAACATGGTGTCAGGGAAGAAGACGGTAATCTATACACATCTTTATATATATATTTGTTCCTATTTGTGTGTATGTGTACTTTGATTATTCCGTTTATTGATTCCGATCTAGGTTTTTTATGGGGATTACAGAAGACGACTCATGAGAGCATCAACAATAGGTTGGCTCTTGGATACAAGACTGTTCTCGAGTCTCTTAGGAGTTCTAAAGGTAAAAAATTGTCACCATTCACCTATGAATATGAATATGAATATGAATGATGAATGTAAATGTTCATTTTGTTTGGAATTTATAGCTAAAGATTTTTTTATCTTATTGTAAATAGTGTTTAAAGGATATAATCATCAAACATGCAAATTTTGAAACATCAAATAGATTATTGGATTGTTTCAGTTTCTCCCAAATCAATTAAATATGAAACAATCAATGGTGTAGGGTCTGACAATTTCAAATACAAATCTTTATCCGTAATCGATATGCCTACTTACATCTTTTCAAAATTTTACATCCCGCTGCATTGCGTGGGTACACAACTAGTAAAAAATGAATTAAAGAAGTTACACCAAAAAATAAGAAATATTAAATAGTTAATTTGATACTAATATTTATTTATTTTTTTCAAAATTTTATGCTATTTTCAAATTTATATTTATTCAAAAATAAAAACATTATCGTTTTCTCAAAAACACATAAAATTGTATTATATCATTAGATACTAATAAAAATCAAAATTTATCTCGCTGCATTACGCGAATACCCTTTTAATAAAAAATAATAATGATCTATTTATTAATTTATTTTTTAAATTAAATATGTATTTCTTTGCATAAAAAAGAGTTGCGGAAAATTAGCAACCATAGAAGTTGCCATAAAACATCTCTTATTATATCCCCTTTTTTAGTATATAACATTTATATACAATAAATATAACAAATAAACTTATACACTCTCCTCATTTTTGATAGATTTAACCCTTGATTTTTTAGGAGACAAAAAATTTATGATATCACTAACCCAAAGACACTTTGATTATATCCCAATTTATTTCTAATCTATGTAATCTTCTCAGATAGATAACCAAACCTAAAAATATAATAAAAGATTTAAAAATATTCAAATCTTTTTAGTTGTTCCTTTTGTTTATGCTATAAAGAATTTGGAATGAAGCTTTAATAAATATACAATTTACTTGTAATCTTGAATTTTAAGTAATATGGGTCAATAAACAATACTTTATGTATAAAAAATGGTTTTTAAGAGTTTTTTTTATCAAATATTTAATAATCTAGTATATATTTTCCACTATTTTGGTGTTTCCTTTTTGTAACTGTTAGCATGCTGCATGTTGAAATGCGTATAATATAGAAAAAAAAATGATGCTTTGATTTAAGAATTTGGCATAGTAAAAGTTAGATTAATAATGAATGCTCAAGTTCCAAAATCCAAATCACAAAAAATAAAAAAATAAAAATGAATTATCGTTTCAAATCCGTCATAAACCAGGGTAATATTTATCATTATCACCTGTAACCGTTAATTTAGCCACAAGGATACAACTAAGATTTAAAAATAAAATAAAATAAAATAAAATAAAAAATATTTTAAACCGGAAGAGTGTTGGAAGACGATGACTGAGCCGGATCCATCTTACCGGCCGAATCGCTTTTTGCAATAAACGCCGGCATCCGTGTCACCCTCATGTTCCACAGATCCGATCGCCCACATAGCCGATCTGGATTCCACCGTCTTCCTCCCCTGCTACCGTCGCTCTGTAATCTCCATCCTCTTCTTGAGCTTCCATCCGCCGGTAAGTCTACTCCACATCCACAACTCTTTGCTCTTTTCAGTGTCACAATCTGCTTTCGGACTTCCTCCGGGAACCTCAACGTGTATCGATCGCAATTCTCTCCCGGTAAAATCAGTGAGTGACCGGTGGAATGTGACCGTGGAAATTTCGGGGCCGCTCGTTCCTCTTCTACATGGATTATACTGTGATTTTGAGATCCGTTTTCGGACGTTGAGTCATTGATTTGGGAGTGAGTCGACTCGTCATTGGATTCCGAGTTATCATTAAGGTTAGCCGTAGTGAGGTCGTCTCGGCAGACGGGACACGTAGTATGAGAAGCTAACCAAGCATCGATACAGTCAGGATGGAAGACATGATGACATTTCGGTAAGAACCGAAGCCTCTCGTCGTCATCGAACTCCGATATGCAGACAGCACATTCCAAAGCTCCATTGCCGATCTTCAGCACTTTGACGTCAGAGTAGAGGAATACCGGGAAAGAGTCGACGACGGATCTATCAAGTCCACAGGGGAATTTCAATCGTGCGCGATGATTATTGGCAATCAAAATAGGCCGACGAGATTCAATAGCAGAGTCCTCGATGCACTTGCGGATGTATAAAGAAAAGAAGGCGATTAAGAACATGCCAAAGATGAGTACAGATAGTATTATCTTGACCGGCGCACTGACGTTCCCCCCGATCTCGTAAGGGTAGGCCGAAGTAGAACTAGAACCTCTAATAGACTGAGCGGCGGCGCGTGGGAAGAGCAGCGCTGGTAGTACGATGAATAATTGCCTTAAAATGGAAATGGAAGAGCCATTCATTTTGTAATTATTGTTTGGTATGGTAAAGAAATGGGTATATATTAATAATGTAGCGGTGGATGTCGTGAAGGAGAAGGAAGTGGAGGAATATGACGGTGACAGGTGGCGCCGGGCGGACGAGTATAAATGTAGTACAGTCGGGTAGCAAAGCGATTGTTGGATGCGATTTAGTTTGTATGAAAACAAGGGGCGGTTCAATGATTGTTCAAATCAGAAAGCAACAAATCTCCAGGTTAGTTCCACTGTTCATCATTACCCACATGTATTTTAGCATTTCTTTAAAATCCATCTTCCAGTTCCAATTTCAATGGTGAATTTGGATGATCAAATCCATATATACATACATATATGTATACATATATATATATATATATATATAATTTGGATTTTGGTTAAAAGAACACATGGTTAGGGTGTTAGTAGAAAAAAGAGGATCAAGAAAAGCAAGAGAAAAGCATGAATATATGAAAAGTAGTTTCGCTTTAAGGCCGAGTCTAGAAACAATTAACACGAAAATAGAAAGATTGAAGTCGAAGCCAAATTGGAATCATACCCACCAAACACCAAAAGTTGGGATCGCCAAACACAAACCCAAAACAAGTTGGGAACCTGAATTTGAACCCGAACTCAAAAATTATAACCTAATAAAAAAAAAGGTCGATCTCCCCACCTCCATGTTTTTCATGTGTTACTTTTTCACATGTTTTCCTTTTTTGGGTTTGCCTTTTTTTTAGCCAGAAAATGAAATAAAAACCGTCTAAAAGTTAAGAAAATGTAAAAGCCAATTTGTAGTGTTATTTTAATTGATTAAAAGATAAATGTGAACATGCGGTGTTGTTTCATGAATGAAATTTCAAGGAATATATTTTTACATACGAAACAGAACACAAAAAATTGGTATTTACGGTTTTTAACTTTTAACAAGTTTCTAAGGAGGAATAAAAATTCCTTTGTGGCCACGGAAATTCAAATACGGTGACTCCGGGCTATCTGCAAAGCAGGTGGTCGCCCTGGAATTAGTCGGCTCGCATAGCGGATTGGATATCCGGGTTAATTAAAAAAAACAAGTTTCTATTTAATTTGTGGTCTTGATTATTATTGTTTTTCTTTTGTCTATTTTTATACATGCTGATAAACGTGAGTAGGTGTAGAGGAGATAAGGTGCAAGAATTCGTTTCAGTTACTGAAACAAGCAATAAATAAATGATGTATTTTAATTAATGTTATGACTTTAATTCATTTTAAAAGGGGTCTTGTTATATTCAATAAGCCAATAAAAATTGGGAGTTTGTACAAAATAACCTTGTAAAATTGTTTTTGCAAACTCACTTTAAGTTTCAAAAATTGGAAATTAGTGGTGGTTCGGTGTAGGGGTGTTCATAGGTTGGGTTGATCGGATTGAAGACATTTGAACAACTCAACTCAATACTTTTGGTTTGAAAAATCTTAACCCAACCCAACCCAATCTAAACTGTACGGGTTGATCGGGTTGGCCGGGTTGATACTTTGCTACATTAAAATATTTTTCTAAATTGTACGGGTTGATCGGGTTGATACTCATAATTTATTTTTCATCATCAACCATTTGATACAACTTATCCATACTTCTTACGTATATCACATTCAATTAATTTTCTCAATTTACATATATATGTTCACAGTTATTAAACATATATACAAATGAGTTATATAGAGATGGAGAATAGATTGAAAATATGTATACATGAAAAGCGTATGTGATAATATAATTGTTTAATGTATATATTAATATAAACTCAATCATCATATTAAATCCAAAAAATAAAAGGATATCAGGTTCATCGAGTTAGGTTGAGTTCAAATAATAGTAACCCAATACCTACAGTTTGAAACTTTTATAACTCGATTAGACATCGAGTTACTTCGGGTTGAATTATTTCGTATTGTATTGAGTTGAGTTAATCGAGTTTTTAAACACCCCTAATTCTTTCTTTCTGTGGAGAGATAAAAGGGGTTGGAGCCTTGGAGGGATGATGGTGGTTTCATGTAAAATGTTGAAACGGGGGGTGGATTGTACTTTTGATGTAAATTGCGAACCCCAAAAGTACATTAAAATAGTGAATATTGATATTGTAGGGGAAAGTTGAAAGGGTGGAGTTGATAAAACGGTTGGGAACTTTGTGGCTATTTTATAGAAAAGCCAAAAAAGTTGGGAATTTTATGATTGGCCACTTGGAATATAACTATTTTAATGATTAATCCTAAATTAAATACAAAGACTCGCATCTTGAGAGGCTAGGTTTCCTTTAAGTCAATATAAAGTTGACTATCATTCAAAATTAAACAAATGAACACACATTTATAAATAGTTGGTTCATCGTTAAGATTAAAAAAAAAACAAGAAAATGTATATATGATATGTAATTGAGTAACATTCACTGGATCTGGTTCACAAAATCTTTTCATTTATTTTTATTTCTTCCAAATTCTAAAGAGGTTTAATTTATGCACGATGAAACAATCCATAACGGTAATATGCATTTACATATCATCTTTCTCCAATCATGATTTATTGATCCAATTAGCGATTTTAAATTAAATTATTCCATCTATAAGTTCCTTTTAATCAAGCTATTTTAAATATAAAAAATAGAATCTATTGCTTTATTGGCTCGAATGGTTCGATTTCCCCGAACTTCTAGTTCTTTTCTTGTGAAGAAGCGTTTCACATTCCGTCCTTGTAGCTAAAGTAACGAATTTTGACGTATTGCTATGTGATAGGTCAACAATTACTGATGATTCTATTTATAAACAAATGAATCGAATTCATGACGGGTTTAAAGAGTTGGTTGACTCCTTGTTATCTTCTCTTCCTTTTCTTGCATTTAAAAAAGCTTCATTTTCCGTAAAATTTTCTATTTTTTAGGATTTCATTTTATGGGCTTTCAATTTTTTATTCCGTATGCATCTAAGATTTCAAGTATTAAATACGTTATTTTACAATTTAAAATTAATTAAAACCGAATGAAGTCAATATTAAGGTTTGAGCTAATGAAAAATGACTGAAACCCTTTAAAAGATTGAAGAACATCCTTTTATTTGCTAATAAAGAGTCTCGAACCATTAAAAGACTAAAAAACTAAACATTTGCTAATAAAGAATCTTTATAAAATCGTTTGATAGGTTTAACGTAATATATTTTAATAAACGTAGTAATGCTATTAGTTTGGACCACCACTGCTGGATAGACGTTAAGCTAAATGGATTTATTGGTTGGTAATATGACTACCATTGGTAATTAAAATGTTATAATTGTAAAATAACATATATTGGATACGTTTGATTTACAACCGTTATGTTGTTGAAATGTCTACAGATATAAGATCATTCGTACTTGTTTTGGTAAACCATAGGACCAGTTTCGAGAGCTTTGGGATGCGACCCAGTCTAGTCAGAGGCCGACACCCCTCCCTTTGACGATGTATCTCTTTGGAATCAAAGCTTAGGGATGCGACCCAGTCTAGTCAGAGGCCGACACCCCTCCCTTTGACGATGTATCTCTTTGGAAGCAAAGCTTAGGGATGCGACCCTGTCTTTTGGTTTCAGGACCTCTCAGGATCCCTATTATGGGTGATCGTATTAGAGCACTGGAAGATTATCTATTACTGGATCGGTAGCAAAGTTATGTTGGTTATATATGTAATCATATCATTACTTTTTTCTAACAAGTTATTGATTTTTGTCAAATATTGGATATTTACAGGTAGCTGAGTTGAGAGTGAATATGACAAAAAAATAGAGGAGGCCCAACTGTAGGAGGAATGTCATCGGGCTGAGCTGCAAGCCAAATGGAAGAGTAGGGTCGAGTTAGAGGCTCCACAGTTGTCCAGTTAGTCGAGCAGATCATGTTATCGGAGAATTTTGCCGCTTTTATGCGACAGCAAGGATACACTCCCCCCTCACGGCCCTCCCTTTAGTTAGATTGTTACGTAACTCCTGGACATTATTTTGAAGTTATTTTTAACTTGTTGGACACTTTCCGTTTTATTTTGAATTTGTGGACATGTTTTGTATAAAATATACAAGAAATACAAAATTTTAATTTTTGGACAGGTTTTGTATAAAATATACAAGAAATACAGAATTTTAATTTAATTATTTTGTATATATATGTTTTCTATATGTTATTCAATCAGATAATGATACTAAAAATTACATTCATATTAGAAAAAGAGAAATCATATAGATTATTATTAGAAAAATAGTATTTGATTAAATATTCAAGATAAAAATTAGAAGGGTAATTTTACAACTCCGTTTTAAACATAACCTCATGACGTGTATGAATTCGTGAAATTGTAAGGAATGTGATGATAAATCCATTACAGTGTAAAATCTAAAGTTAAAAAATGTAAAATCATAAATGTTAAAAACCTAAAAAATTCGCCTCGAAAAGAAACACACGCCATGGCGTGAGTCGCGCCTTATAGAAACGTTATAGGCTTTATCGTAATTGCTGGGATGCGTCTTGTGTAACATCACATCATCGTGCGCCTTGTTGAACACTATTAAACGCTTATTGGGTAAAAACATTCCCCCTCACTTATTGTGTATAATTATCGATCATTGATATGAGGAGCTGCCAGGATGGCTTGGTAAGCAAGCAAACGGTTATGTAGGCGCCAACTCCCAAACTAAAAGAGTGATTTGAGTCCGACTCAAGCGAGTGAATGAAAGGCGTCATTCTATCTGGGGCTAGGTAGGTGAAGCGTCTAGCTTGTGGGGGGG